GGAAAGCGGAGTTTGCCGCAGAATCGAAAGTAAAAAAATTACAAGCAAAATATGGTTAATTGTCAGACCTTTACCTTCATTTTTATTTTTATAGATAATATTCAATTTGCTGTAGGCGTTAACATAATTGTTTTTTTTGAATTTAGATCAACTTTGTATTAATTTGGAAAAGCTAGAAAAGGAACAACAAGGTTCTCGAAAATCAAGAGGAAAATTAGAAGCAGTAGCTATGCTTCGTGAATCAAAAGTTTGTAGTCCATTTTCTAATATTTTTACTCTTAATTTCATTTTTATTTAATTATTCAAGCAAAATTTAAAACTTTATCACTCATGTTAATTTAAATATTATCACTCATGTTAATTTATTCTTTTTAGTCGCCACAACCAAATCTTAATAACGAGGCCAACTCTCATCTTATCGCTCTTATTAAAGAACTTTCTTCAGCCAATAATAAATTAAAATCTGAGATTAGTGAATATCGTGACCTTCTTACAGAATCTCGTAATGAAGTGAGCAGTTTGCAAAATCGAATTGAAGATTTCGAGACAGCAAGTGCAACAGGCTATTTCCATCCTAGTAGCTACGCTACGTCTGCATTCCAGCCGCTTGCCAATGATGAAATGGGTGAAAATCAACCCAGTTCTATTAACGCGTTTATGGAAGAAATTGGTGATATATCTAATATTACACCTGATACTGGTGATATGTCTAATATTATACCTGGTACTGCCGCTCGTCCAATTATGTCACCCAATCCTTCGTTTGGTCCTGGTTCATATAACACATTCAATAGCTTGGGCGTTGATCCTTCTGTCCATTCTCCTGTAGGATCAGTTGTCTCTTCGTCGATGTTATCAAGCTCGAATCCCCTTCACCATCACTACCATTATCACCACCACCATTATCATAACGAAAATAATGATATCGTAAGAGGGAACGTATTTGGTGAGCTTGAAAAATACTATAAAAAACCAAAATCCAGGGGACCTAAAATCGTACGTGGCCCGAAAAAGAGCAGAAGAGCAATCCCTGAATTCGATGAAAAAGCTGAAGATCAACTGAATGATGAAAATATCGCTCAGACTGATGCTAAACAAAAGAAATACACTCGATCCGAAGGCTATGAAAGTGCATCAGGTGCATCAGATCAATGTTATAATAATGAACCCAACGAAGAGGTCCGTATTATTATTATTATTATTATTATTATTTATTTATTTATTTATTTATTTATTTTATTATTATTATTATTATTATTATTATTATTATTATTATTATTATTATTATTATTATTATTATTATTATTATTA